TTATTAGCATTTATGGAATTTTGGTTTTGCACATTCAGTACAGATGAAACCCCAGTGAATCCGATAAAATTCTTTTGCATGGGAAACATTTAAAGAACAAGGAAGCTTGCTAAGCTTTGACTGTCTGTATCTGTACACACAGAATGTTCCCTACCCTAGTTTAGCATTTCTACTGTCACTACTGAAAATGGTATTATAGCTTAAGGTTATGTTCAGATTTCCATTATAACCCCCAGTTTTCACATGCTCTTAACTTTCTGAAAAATTCTTCTTTTCAGCTGAAATTTTCCATGCTTGGTCTCAGCTGAAAGATGAATTTCTTTAGACAGTTGAGCAAAATCCGTTAACCTATTTTTCAGTTATACAAGGATAAAAAGAAAATGCATTGTGCATTTTCAACTTTTCAAATATTTTAGTATATAGATACATAAATATATGGAACCTAGAAACAATTGAATTTTACATGCAGGCATTTTTCCAGGCAAGTAGTCCCCAAACTACTGGTTACAAAACGTTAATATTTGCAAGTGATGTAAATTCTATACAGCTGTTCCAATGCAGCTTTCCTTCATGTATATCTTGAAATTCCCACTCTTGGCATATCAAATTAGAGTTATTAACATTTTCAGCATTTTTTTTTTTCTCTTATATAAACCCCAAAGTTACAAATTTAAACATTGCAGTATAAGACAATATCAGCTGCATTTGCCAACAGAAAGTTTTATGTGATAAGCTTAAGTAATCTGCATTGATCAGCAGGAGCCTGGCTACTCATTCCTTGGTCAGGCAAAAAGTCCACTGACTGAAAAAGGAACAAAGGAAGCTCCATAGTTATTGACTATATCATTAAAAAGAAAAATAAAAACCAAAAGACTTTAGTGTGGAATGCGTTCAGCCCCAAATCCTTAATTTCTACCATCAGAACACAGAAGTAGAAGGACAGTGACAACATATTTTCAGCTTTCCAGAAAGTACTGAAACTATACACATTTCCAGAATTTACAAATCATCATCTTGACTCATAAGAGCTACTGTGTGCGGTCTTTCTTGAAAACAACATCTGAAGTCATTTGGACTTCAAGGATGTGCTTTATTCCCATCACTTTAAATGAAAGCTAAACACGTTTCTAAATGCTGTTTTCTTAGGAATGTAGACTGAAGGTTTTGCTCAAAACCTTCACTGAAACTTATTTTACAAACTGTTTTATTTGCCAGTGCTGTGCTTCAAATCTGATTAAATAAAGTTATAATTTAAAACTGGGATAACCACAGCAAATTGGCCATAATTTCTTTTATTATTTAATCTGTTGTTAACCTAATGATACTGAGTAGGAGGCTTTTGTCTGTTTATTTGCTTTTTATAAAAGGCCTTTCACTCTGAAGAATACATGTCGTTTTCTACTATATTTCTATGCAGTTGTTTGGTGTACTGACTTACTAATTTCAAGTGCATTTTAAAGTTCAATCAAATTCTGAAAAGAACACTGATTGAGAAGCCTGCATAGATTTCAGCATTCTTTATGAGTCATAACACTGATTTTGGAAGCTTAGCTATATGAGCTGGTGGTGTGTAACATCCTTTCCATACTCCTAATTATGTGAATTAGCATTTAGAACAATCCCAAGTTCAAGTATTCAAAAATGCTCTTTTCAGAGCATCCACCAGGTTTACTGCAAGATAGGCACTTTAAGAAGGCTTTGGTTTTTATACTGGGTACTTCTGAAACATCAACCTGTGCAATTCAAAGAGACATGTGAAGAAAAGACTTAACCACAGAATTTCCTCTAAAATTATCAACAGTAACACAGAATCAGTAAAAAATATTAATAAATTTGGATTGAACGATTGATTTCTGAATTCTAAAGGCTTTCTGACACAGGTCCCAGTTCTAACAGATTTCTAGAGCCCAGCTCCCATTAGAAGTAATAGGATTTTGTTTAAATGAAGTCCAAGTGGGGACTTGGGTCTCATCTCCATACCAGTTTTAATTTAGTCATCTGCAAGATACACTTAATGTATATTTTGCTTGAACTGAAAGAAATTTGAAGTAGAAACATAGGATGCTAGCATTTCTTAGACAAATACTAATCCTATATTCCTTTCCCTATTTCAACACTCTCCACAATTCCCACACACTTTGCAAACCACACACAGAAAACTTATATTACAAGTAATTTACTACAACTTCCAGCATATGACAAAGAAAACAATTATTTTAAATTTCAAGAAAACACAATAAAATATTTCTTCATGAGGAATTAAAAAAAAAAAAAAAAGAAAGAAAAAAGAAAAAGTGTTTCCAATACTGTAACATTAGTTTAACCTACTGTTCAGAAAGATTTCTATTTTAAGTCTGAATATTTTGCTTAAAGGACATATTCTACAAAAATCTATTTAAAAGATTTATGAAAGACCTACGAAAGAGTATTTAACTGCAGTGCCAGTGCATGTTAGTCAAGATACATCCTAATCCCAGGAATTACAGAAAGAATAGTACAAAGACTGCTAATGATTACTGCCATTGTTGGCTGCTCTCCTCCAGCCAAAAGTGTTAAGGGGACATAAGGTTACTTCCTGTAACATGCATCACTGAGAAAAAAAACAACAAAACCTCAGCAGCACCTCCTCCTTCCCCACAGAATAAACGTACATAAACTCAGTTTAGATAACTGTCTGCCTAAGGAAGAGTTATACTTGCAGTTAGACATAATATTGCAGCTTTTGCAGGGAGTGATTCAAATCACATGATATGAATATTTGCTGACTTCAGAAAGGATTTAATAAGACTTCAGTGAAACCTGAATCATATCCATATAGAGAAACATAGACAGTTATTAAAATGAAACCAATACATTTAATATAATGAACATAACTAACTAAAAATACACCTGTAGGGTGTTTTTCTGTTTCTTTGTTTTTTTCCTAAATTATATTTTGCTCATATTCAATTTCACTGTGCAGAGCATATACATTCTGTCAGGTAAATAATATTTCAAACCTTAAATTCCCCAGTTTACTGTGGGGGATTAAGTCTGAGTTTCTTAATAGAGTTTGGAGAGATAATTTAAGATAATTCAACAACATCTCTGAACAGAAAAGGAATGTGTGGGTTGGAGGTGTTACATTTTGTAACTAAACCGAGGGGAAAAACAATCTCATGAAAACTTCAGCCAAGTAACCACTGATTATGCAGAGCTCTTCTACAGATTATTTTTGTTTGTTTTAAATGAGATCTTTTCTTAAACTTATGCAGACAGTATGTATATGGTGCTGTACAGCAGCTTAAAAACTGCCACTGGAGTTCACCACGACTTCAATTTCTTAGAAAGGTGACAGTTTTGTGAGAACCTTCTTAGATGTTTTCAGTATCTCACTGTTATCGGTTGTCTCAGAGTAGTTACTTAGCAGAACTGCCTCAAAAGTGCTTGTTTTATTCTTAGTATCTTGTTAGTGTGACACCTTACAGACACCCAAAGTCAAGACAGTTCTGGGTACACCACATTCATCTCAGATAAGGCTAATGCAACAGCAAGAGAATGACTTTATCCTAAACTTGGCTACTGTCAAAATCTTTTTGCAAAGACAAGCCTAAATGTATCTTGCTTGATTCTGCAAGATTCGTATCTCTAATAAAATTCTGAGAAATCACCATAACTTGGAGGGTGCAGTGCCAACAGGCATACAACAGTGATTCCTAACACCTAAGAAGTTGGTGCAGTGGAAGCTAAGCACTTGGAAAGCTGCTTTGTAAACACACGAACTTAACTACTGACCAGCCCAGTGCAACTACCATTAAATAAAAGGTTCTTTGGCTGGAATATCAGCTTAGTCCTTCCCTCCCCCCTTTTCCTACCTACTGCAGGACTGGCACCAGGCCAGCGTAAGCGACATAGTACCTTAGTGCCATCTACAGGCTATATTGACATTCTAATTTAGTGGCAAAAGACAAGCACCAATAAAATAAATTAGACAGCACTGCATTTAAATCTTTATTAGCAAGGAATTATTAGACCTAAGAAAAACTAATGCTGGATTTGGTTGAAATATGAGTTTCTCAGCCTCCTAATCCCTCTTCATATGGCGTATTTCACAGTTTAAAATGAGTTATGACAGATCACTTATGCATTACTAAGATGAGAAAATATTTACAATGGGCTGACTTCTTTCTGCATAATTCAGATGTATTCAGAGAACGCAATCCTTTTGAAAGTATGCTTTGGCCATTTTTTCAAAATATGCAAGGAACTGTCTATGCAATACCAACTTTAATCTATTACAACAAAATCATTTAAACTCAAAACAGAGGAAGACTTCTGTATGGCTTAGTTATATTCTATGAACAAACCACATGCTTCGCAGATGAAGTAGCTTGGAAATTCAGCTGTCTTTGTTAGGGAAAAAAAAATTAACCCCTTTAGTAGCACTAAATAAAGTTCCATATCAGCTTGAACTGTTAAAGAAATTCAAGCCAACTCACTCTGAAATTTGACATTGAATGTATACATCCCTTCAATCTCAAAACAGTCACGTTTTTCTAAATGAAATTTGGCATAAAAGAGGTTTTTCTTCAATAACATTTACATTTGGGTAGTCAAAAACTGGGGAGAAAAAAAAAAAAACAACACATGTCTGTTTATGCATACGCATGTGCATATGTAAGGACCCCTACAGTCCTTTAACAATCAGTAATCTTCAGAATCCAAAGTACCAGAAGCATTTTGAAAATGTGTGGGTAAGCCCCAGGTAAGCAATAATGTGGTTGAGGTTTTTTTTCTTTGCTTGATTTTGTTTTTTGTATGTTTTTTTTTTTTTTTTTTTTTTTAATTACTATTATTATTTTATTTGGTTGTTGCTTTTTGTTGTTGTTTTTTTTTTTTCCCCCATAATATATTTAAGTTAAATTAGACTGAAACAAAAAAAGAACATACTGGCACTTTTAATACTGGTTGATCGGGCACTTGTATGCAGTACTTATAGACCAGTAAAAGTGCTCGTTTACCTGTCTGGTGTGTAAGGGGCCCTTTGTCTTGAAGCCTCCTTGGGAACTGCACTCTGAGGCACTGAAGTGATCTGAACTAGTGGAAGAGCGTTTGGAAAGGGTGTCACAGCCACCAACAAAGGTGTTGTCCAAAGGGAGTTCCTGAATCACGTGGTGCTTTTTCACTGAAACGGGAGTGTCAGGTTTGAGATGAAAAGCAGACTGAGGAGAGGCAGATTTGTAATGCTTGGCAAGATCAGGACTGTTAGGCTTAAAGGTTGTTGGTGGTGCTGTGCCCCAATCAAATCTTCCTATACTTTGCTCCTCCAGCTCCGCTGGAAGGCTTATTGTCCCGTTGATGGGTTCATGAACTGCATCATCAGGTTTGGACTCCTCAATGGTCACAAAGTTCAAAAGAGAACTCTTCGGAGATTTCCTTTTCTTCCTTTTCTTTTTCTTGCTTTGCTTGTTCTCCTGATTGGGAGACATCCATTCAGCACCTTGTTTGCTCCTCTGGGCAGCTTTGAATCTGGATGCATGCCGGCAGCGAACAAGAACAGTGACAAATATCACCACTATGACAACCATGGCACCTGCCACAATAGCAATCATGATTGTGAGATAGTCCTCGTTTTGGTAGGGTTGGCTACTGTCTCCTATGTTCCTGTCCAGAGGCGTTTCCATAGTCCTGCGTATCAAGTCATAAATATAAGAGGCATTTCCAGCAGTATCATTTACATACAAAAAAACAAGCACAAGAGTATGCAAAGATTTGGGATAGCCCAAATCACTTATGTTGACAACTAAGCGATGCAGCCCCACATCATTAGGAGTTGGCTTTTCCTCCAGAGTGATGTTACCTGTCACTGGATCAATCCGAAACAGACCTTTGCTATTTCCACTCACTATTGTGTACTTCAGTTCAGCGTTCATTCCGGTGTCGATATCCACTGCAAACACTTCTGCTACCACTGATCCTGGAATTGCTGAGAGTGGCACCAGCTTAAAAGAAGTATTAGAAGGCGGGTAGATGACAACAGGACTGTTATCATTAACATCCATGACATTTATGGTCACTTTTGCTGTAGAAGAGCGAGGAGGTTGTCCTCCATCAACTGCCTTGACATCAAAGGTATAGGAGCTCTGCTGTTCTCGATCAAAAGAAACATTGGACTTTATAACTCCAGAGAAGGGATCCAGCACAAAGTTGTCATTGTCATTGAGAATAGAAAGGGTCACCGCTTTGTTTTCCCCAGCATCTGCATCAGTCACCGTGATCACCCCCACAGTGCTATACTTTGGTAGGTTCTCTGATACAAAAAACTGGAAATGATTATGAGTAAATTTGGGACTGTTGTCATTTTCATCCAACACAGTAACAATTACAGCTGCTTGACTCTGCAAAGGAGGGGTGCCATTGTCTCGGGCTGTAACAGTGAAAATGAAACGCTCCTGTTCTTCTCTGTCAAAAACTCTGGAGGCTGTCAAAACTCCAGTCTTTCGATCCAGATCAAAAAAGGAGGCATTAGGGCCAAGCTGATAAACAATGTCTGCATTTTTCCCACTGTCTTCATCTGTGGCACTAATAGTTGTTAAGTATAGACCGCGACGGTTGTTTTCAGAAACTGACAGCTCAATTACAGGCTGGCTGAAAATAGGAGGGTTGTCATTTTCATCCTCCAGCTTAACTCTTACCAGGGCAGTCTGGTTCAAACTGGGCTTGCCAGAATCAGAAGCAACAATTTTAAAGCTGAATTCTTTGGTGCCCTCGTAGTCCAACAAGGAAGAGGTCTCTAACAAATACTGGTTGTCGTAAACTGCCTTCAGGTGGAAGGGGACCTCTCTCTCAATGAAACAGATCACTTTGCCATTCACATCAGTGTCCTTATCTGAAACCGTAATTAGGGCAATCTTTGTATTGACAGGATCTTTCTCAGATAAGTACACTGTGCCATTGATGGGACTTATTATGTACCTGAGGTCTATGTTCGGAGGGTTATCATTTACATCAGTGACATTGATGGTCACAGTTGCCCGAGCTGGTGTAGAGCTGCCATCACTAGCCAGCACTGTCACTTTGTGAATAGCAGTCTCTTCCCGATCTAAGGACCTCTGAACTGTGATCAGCCCTGTGGTGTTGTTTAAAGCAAAAAATCTTTTGGTCGCAGGCGCAACTTGGGCACCAAAAATATATCTGATTTCTGCATTGCTTCCTATATCTGCATCTGTAGCATGAAGCTGAATTACAGAAGTGCCTACAGGCGCATTCTCTGGTATATGAACCTCTACTTGACTCTCTTTAAAAACTGGCCTGTTATCATTGACATCACTTACTGTGACTTGCAGGATAGCTGTGCTGGATTTCTGTGGGGTACCTCCATCCTCCACTTTGATTTTCATCACGTAGGTGTCCTTTTGCTCTCTATCCAAGTTCTGCTGCACAATCAGTTGAGGCCATTTCTCTCCTTCTGGAGTTTCTACGATATCCAGGCCAAAGACACTCTGCCCGTTCAACAACTCGTAGTGCTGCACACCGTTGAAACCTGTATCAGGGTCTGTTGCTGATGGGATTGGAAAGCGACTGTTGATCAGAGTGTTTTCTGGTATGGAGATATTGATGACAGGGGATGGAAACATAGGTGCATTGTCATTAGTATCCTTCACAATTATTTTTATCTTGATCAGCCTAAAAAAGTCATTGGGGAGAATCACCACTTCAAGTTCAAAGAAACACTCATTTTCTTCTGCATAGGAAGCGCCAGCGCAGAGTTTTTCTCTGTCTATTCTGTTTGATGTTGTAAAGATCTCCCCGGTGGTACTGGACACTTTGACCAGAGGGGCATCCCCTGCCTTAGACACCAGTCTGTATACAAGGCTGGCACTGGTCCCCGTGGCAGCATTGATGTGAGAAATGTTCAGATCCTTTGGTATGTTTCCTATGGGGACATTTTCAGGCAGCTCCTCTCTAATAGTGTAAATAAGTTCTTGAGCTACAGCAGAATCCAGCCTTAAACAGGCAATCAAAGCGGTCAACAAGTAAAATTCCCTCAGGTCCATGATAATGTTTTTATTGTCTTTTCCTGGATTTTAGGACTCAAAGGTTTCCACACAGAAATGATGCGCAATTTGCAAGAGGAGGCATGCATGGACTGCAGGATGCATTACATCTCATTTCTTATTTGGAGACAGCACTGTCAACACAACCACACAGAACAGCATTATTGGTTTTTAAGGTATGACAAATCCACAATTTCCAACTACTACTTGTTTTTGCAAGGCACGCTTGCAGCAGTATGCTTTCCTACTGCTCCCCTTTACAAGCAATCCCTCTGGACAAATACACTAATATCCCATTGGCTGCGTTTGCAGAGAGCGAGAACAGAAATAACTACTTGCAGGATTAAGGGTAGCTGCAGTTTCAACACGTACTTTCTGAATAATTTCTTGGCACACCGTGTAATCCGTAACGTGCGTTTCCCCTCTACCCTCCTCCACCCAGTCTTTTGGTGCAAGTAAAAATCTTCCTGTACTTCTGCTGGATTCTAACTGCTATGGCAGCTGCCAAATGTCATTTGCTGTTTGCTTCCATACGCATTTTTCAGCTCTTGCTAACCAGATTTCTCTCTGTTCCCTGTGCCTTGCATCCCCCACTACTGTGATCGTACTGGGAAATAACCACCCGGACATGCTGCTGCTGCAGCAGTCGTCACTGGCGACTTCACATCCCTGTTAACTGATGAGACAATAACAGGACTTACAGTTTCTTACACTTTCAGCCCAGTGTATCCTCTCTTGGATACTTCCCCTTCTGTTTAATAACCTTAAACTTTATTTGTTTGTTTTAAAACACGGGCTAAACCGAGGGGGCTGGAAATTCCAAACGCAACTTAGGAGCAGCCAGTATGTTTACAGATGGAGGGGGTGAATATATTTTCTGAATATAAGGGAAGGAAAAAAGGTACAGCCTTTCAGCCTTTCTCCATTGACACTGATCTCCCTTTAGGATGTTATTAGCAGCTGCCACACATAAATACTGCAGACTAATAATGCAGGTTAAAAAAAAAAAAAAAAAGAAAATAAATAAATAAAGAAAAGCGACAGAAGGACTTGTGTTTGCATGCTCTGCTAGCTGTGAATTACCCGGGAGCAAGGCTCCAGCACCTGCAGTTTGGGGGAACTGGGCACCCTCAGCACTAACCTTATCTGCATTAAGCAGCACGGGAGCTGCTGCCCGTGATTACTTCCAGCGGAGTGATGCAGGTAGGGATGCAGAGACAGGGAGTAGGTGAGCCTTTGCCACCAACACCAACTGAATCCGAAATACTGATCCTTTCCCTAGATAAATACACTGTGTGTTGGCTCTGATTATTATTTTGTTAATGAAATGCATCACGCTGTATGGGTAACTTTGCACTTACGTTGGTTGTCTACCTTTGATGATCTGCTGCAGCTAAGCAATGATCTGTTCCAGCAGATACAGCACAATGCATCTGGTAAACCACCAGTTTTGGAGAAATCAGCAGCAGCCAAACGCTTCCTCCTTGAGATATGTGTTGCTTCGGGGTGGCAAATTAGCAACTCCAGGGAACAAATTCACAGTTCCGTCGTTAGTCATCCTCTCCATGTTTCATTTCTATTAAGCGGCGATCCTTCGGGTGCTTAACGCACACGCAACAGCGCAAACAAGCAGCAAGCAAAAATCCGGTGCACTTCTTTAGATGGGGAGTATTTTCCACTCTGCACTGCATACAATTTCCATCCCTCTCTCACCACAGCAGAGGCAGCTACATCAAGTCTGCAACTTCTTACTGGAAATGACAGAGTTGGTCTGGCGTTCCTTTTCTCCCCCTTCTTACCTCTGGGTTGATAGTTGCACACATTTAAAAAAAAAAAAAAAAAAAAAAAAAAAAAAAAAAAAAGTAAAAAAAAAAAAAATCCTAATAGATTATTGCTTTAGTGATGTGAGGAAGCGACAGCGCTTTCCCTCCTCCCTTCCAGTCTCCCTCTCACGCACACTCTCTCCTTCTCTCTCTCTCTCTCTCTCTGAACTGAAATTCTTGATATAACTCTCAATAAGCCCAGAGGGAGGGTGTGCGCGGCGCTAAGCCCCCCCTCCCGCCGCACCGCATTGGTCCGCGCCGGCGGGGGAGGCGGCTGCCGGAGCGCGGCTCTGGCATTGGCCGCCGGGTACGTCGCTCCTTGGGTCGGCCGGGCGGTGGGGGCGGCTGGCGGGCGGCCGGCGGGCGGCGCGGGGAGGGAGGGGGCGAACAAGCGCGGAGCCTCGCGGAGAGGGGGCGGGAGGCGGAGTGCGTCTCGGGTCGCCGCGCTCCGGGAGCAGGCTAGAGCGCGACGGGGAGCTGGGGCCGCCCTGGCGAGTGTGGGGTGCCCCGCTGCCGGTTGCAGCAGTGATAGAGGATGTGCGGCTAATCTGGGGAAAATAGGGATGTTATGGCTTTTTTTTTTTTTTATTGGGTGGGAGTGGGGGAGTTCAGCGAGCGCGCCCGTCCGCGCTGCGCGGAGGGAGCGCGCTCGGGGCGGCGGTGGCTGCGCACTCTCCGCGGCCTGCCGGCGCGCCGCCCGCAGCAAGCAGCCTGCCCCGGCCCGCCGCTGCGTGGTTCGGCTTTATATTTAATACATGCCTTTTCATCTATAATTCACGCTGCTCAGACTCCAGCCACGTCTCGGCTCCCATTTACGCCTGTACACCTTTCTCCTTCCCCTTCCCGAAGGGTCAGCGGAGATACTCACTGAAGGAAAGGGAGAGCTGTTTAGCTGCTTGTGTTTCTGTCTGCTTAAACATCGAGCTGGAAAACACTTTTCTGTGGCCTGATAAATAATAAAAGTGATCACTTCTCTTTCCCTGTAAATGACACAGGTAAATTATCCAGCTAGCCACAAAGCAGCATCACATGCCTGGAACACGGTGTAATAAAATGCCAATGTGTTATGATACAACTGACCTCAAAAGTGTGACAAGAGGATGATTATAGTACATTATATATGATGTGTTATATGTAGTGCATTTTAAAACATTTTCTGAGGCATGAATGAATCTTCATTTGACTATGCTTTTACTGCTAGCTTTTCTCAGCTTGAACTTGGAAGCCGTATCACACAGTACCTATCCAATTTAGTATGCCCAGATACATGGCCACGCTGGCTGCTGTTTCTGGTTAAGCCTTTCAAATATATGTGCATACAAAAAGAAAAGATAACATCGGTATTTATCTTCTTTCATGTGCGATATTGTAACTAAAAAGTGTCTGCTGTTTCAGTTGATAGCGTTGGCCAGCAAGAGATCCAAGTTACTGCCTCGAAGATTTTAGAAGATTTTACATTTTCAGATGCAGGCTCCTGCCTTCAGATTCCAATATACATACACACATACGGCACAGCGTTAGGCAATTGTGGAAGCTCCTCATATCTGTTAGAGGTCAGTAATTTTCATGGCTTGGTTTTGTGTGGCACATAGTGATATTACTGTGGTACATTCCCTTGGAAGTGATAGAGACTGATAATACACTCTGTATGTGAACACTGCAATCCTGTTGTTGCATGATGTGTAAAGATTAAGCAGTCTTAGTTTTGCAGTGCTTTGTATTTGTGTCTGAAAGACTCCTATTACAGACACAGAAAAAAAATTGATCCTGGTTTTGATGACATCAAGTAATGGTAGCAAACGGAACTGAATCTAATAATAGTTTAAGAAAAATGTTCATTATGTAATACAGGAAGGATGGCTAGAGCCCCAGCATTGAAAGTCAAGTAAGTGACACAAAGGAGCAACCTCACTGCCAAACCACTTAGAAAAAAGAATTCTGTGAATGAATTAAGTATGTGATCCTTTCGTCTTCTAAAATACAAAGCAGAACAGCCATTAATAAAGAAGATAATTAGGACTGTGAGCTTTCTGTGTAATGCAGTCTGCTTCTGAAATATGGCGTGTTTATGTATGCATTAATAATGCACACATTTTTTCTGACACTAGTCATATCACAGCAGTATGGCATCACAGACGTTTTATAGCCTCATTCTAGTAACATCACAGACATATAACATTCTTATTCTAATCACACCATAGTTATTTCAATGTCACATTGTAGTCACATCACATAGCCTGGTAATAATTATTTAACTTTATTGCTAAGCTGAATAGTTTTCTGTTTGCTCAAGGATGACTTTAACTTGTAGTCAGAACTGATTACCACATGCTCATAAATGAGTTCTTCTCATGTATGCAGGGTTAGCCTGTGTTAGGAAGGGAAAAAACAGTGAACAGAGAACTAATCACGGTTGGATTCAAGCTACAAATAGTATAAAATAGATAGTACAACATTTCCGTTGTTTTCTGAAGCTACATTAGAAAGCCAGAGGTGTTTACTTGAAGTTCTGCCATGTTAATGTTTCTGTGCTTGCTTTGAAATGCTGTAGTTCTTTAACTAATCATGCATTGTTAACCTCTTGAAAAAGGCTACAGTGTTTGCACAGCAGATTGTAAAATTGTATCTCAGAGCACCAAGGGGGCTAGAACTGTCACGACTACTTCTAATATTGGAAGAAAATTAATACAAGCTCAAGTCCTTGAGCAGGAATCAGAATCACACAGCACACTATTATGCAGTCTCTGAAATTTGAGGAACTGCTGTACAACATTTCCCGTGTTCACTTGAGTAGCCATGTTTTATCCTCCAGTAAATGTTTATTTGGCTGATCTTACATTTGGGAAAACTAAGACATGTGGTGTTTGGTCAAATGGCAGCTATGTACTGTTATTTATACTGTTCCTTGATAGCCTTTCTTTACCATGATTATTAGGCCTTTGTCTGCGTTTAAGAACACTGGTCTCCTAATCGCATCATAACCTATTAGAGTGACTTTTGTATTACAGCGAATTAACTATTCATCCACATCATTGCATGTTATCTGCGCCTCCATATTATCATGTATCAAATTCTTTTCCATATCATATTTGACTTGAATTCTAGCATGCTAGAAACTGACTCCAATTATTCTGTACTAGCTATAGTCAAATTGCACTAAATGGAATTGCTTACATT